CAAGACGTGTTGAAGACCTTGAGGATCGCCGAGCCATAGAAATGCGTCAAGATGACCGTCAGGAAACAGGAGAGATTTCAAAACGTGTTGTTGACCGCGAGGATCGCCGAGCCATTGAAATGCGTCTAGATGACAGAGAGGAGCAACGAGAGATTTCAAGACGTGTTGATGATCGTGAAGAGCGACGAGAAGCTTCAATGCGCCGTGATGAACAGTCAGAACGACGAGAGATTACAAGACATGTTAATGACCGCGAGGAACGCCGAGCCATTGAAATGCATCTTGGTCACCGACAGGAAGAACGAGAGACTTCAAGACGTGTTGACGATCGCGAAGAGCAACGAGAAACTTCAATGCGCCGTAATGAACAGCCAGAGCGAAGAGATTCTACAAGACGTGTTGGTAACCACGAGGAACGCCGAGCCATTTCAGTGCGTCTGTATGACCGACAGGAACAACGAGAGATTTCAAGACGTGTTGATGATCGTGAAGAACGCCGAGAAACTTTAATGCGCCGTAATGAACAGCCAGAACGACGAGAGATTACAAGACGTATTGATAACCGCGAGGAGCGCCGAGCCATTGAAATGTGTCTTGATGACCGACAAGAAGAAGGAGGGATTTCAAGACGTGTTGATGAGGGTGCAATGCTCCGTAATGAACAATCAGAACGACGAGAGATTTCAAGACGTGTTGATGATCGCGAAGAACGACGACAGATTACAAGACGTGTTGATGATCGCGACGAACGCCAAGCCATTGAAATGCGTCTTGATGACCGACAGGAACAACGAGAGATTTCAAGACGTGTTGATGACCGCGACAAACGCCGTATAGAAAGTGATGACGGTTCATGGTCACATAAAAGACGTTTGGACAATGAACGCCCAGAAATTTTAGTCCGTGAACTTTCGCGTGGAAATTACATCCGAGTATTTGAACAATTGCAAAGGCAATCTACTGCTAATGAAGTGAAATCCAGCCCGATGACCAGGACTAATGTAAATTTGAAACATGGATACATTTTACTTGGACAAGGAACAATTTTGGCTTTTGTCATAATGAAGGCACTCAAGGACTATGAGTTTAAAATAAAGTACGTATATCATGTACCTTGGTTTTCAGTCTCTTTAATTAATTAATTTTTTATTTCAGGAGAGTTTCAGCTCGACACATTAGTGATTCGGCATACCTCATGGGATTTTAGAAATACATGCATGCTACCAAAATGACAAACAATGAAACTGATTAATTGGCTTACGAATTGTAAATAATATAAAGTGTACCTAAAGCAAATCTGCGAAATCGCTGTGTTAACGAAAATAATGAAAACAGAATGAAAATAATTAATAATAGAAAAATAGTTATAAAGTTATTATGGATCAAATTAAAATAACTTGTAATCAACTGTTGTTATTTATTGTAGTATATGCAAATGTACATATTTATATATAAATGAATATCGATATATATTATAACTTATATGTAAATTAAAATATTGTTCAAATAAAGCAGCAAATAAAAATGATATAAGCACAAAATTTACTATTTAGTTTTAAAACATTTGAATGCCTCTGTAATTATTATTATTTTTATATAATGGCAACACCAAGTTTCTTGCTGTTGCTTTCGACTGTCATTCGGTGGTAGCTGTCAAAGTGCTTTGATAAAGTTTGGTCTTCTTTCAGTCATTCGTGATATTTGATAGATTTTTAATGCGTGTGAGAATATTGTGTATTAATTTAATTAACTTTATTTTCTCTATATAAATTTATTTTCTTGTCATATTGGGAGCCTTTCGAAAATGTTAAGAAAAAATTATGTTGTATACATATGTGAATAGTGTTTAACAAAACGAAAAATGGAAAGTTTGTGTCGATAAATTTTCGAATAAAAAGTGAGACATTGTAGCCAATAGCGCAAAGGTTTTTTGCCTCAAAAAAGTAATAATAATTGCATTTGCACATCAACAATAACTGGACACATTCCTCTCCAGTTCATCAGCGGTACCCATATGAAATAAAAAATACATAAGCGCATATTTTTTCTGATTGGTTTTCACAAGCTATAAAACGCAGTGTTTCGATTACCAGAGGATTGTGATTAACAGTGAAAGTTTATACCTGCTGAAAAAAAACAAAATAAAACAAAGCTCGCCTCTGGCTGCGTAACATTTAGCGCTCCACATAAAATACGGGCCATTAAGTATGGTGTGTCTGTTGCTAAAACTACACTTTCCTCGACATAACGGTGACAACGAATAGCTGTATATTTCTTCTACTTATTTCCTTCTTTGCTTTAATTTGTTGTTACTGGCATTTTATAATACTCAGTGCTAAACGTAGCTTTTTTGTTATTTGGAAGTCGTTTACTATTTGTGAGAGCTATTTGCAATTTAGCTCAATTTACGTCATTATATTGAGCGGAAAGTGAACGGAATTGCGAACGATCACACATCGCCAACAGTTGGTCTACACACCACCGGTACCATACCACTGCCATTACAAGCGATTGACCAAATACTTGTTATGCTGTTACTTTTATTGTAACTGATTTTTTTTTTTTGGTGATGTATTTTTTGTGAATATTTTGTTATCCATATTTCTACTGAATACGTGTAAATACTTGTTTTTTAAAATAGTGTACACCAAATAGTGTAAAAGTGAAGTGGAGCTACGGGTTAGAAACTACAGTTAATCAATTTAGTTCTAAAAACGGATAACGCCAGCTAACAACAAAATGGGACTTTTAATTTCAAAATTATGGAGCATGTTTGGCAATGAAGGTTAGTATTAATATTTTTAAGTAAATTTACACGTATATATTATAATGACAATATTTTTTTTAATACTTTTACAATATATTTTTAATCATTGAGGTGATTCAAATAAGCGAGAATCAAGTAACAGTATATGTAAAAAATATATATTACGATAAATGCTAATTAAAGATCAGTATATAAATTTTAAGATAAATGTCAAATATATGAAATTGGTTCCAATTGAATTTAATACAAAGTCGACCTTGAAGAGGGACTCATACTTAAACTTTGGTGGAATACTAATCAGCTCAAATTGAATCAGACATGCGAAACATGTCTTGTATAGTTTCCATATCAAAATTTCGTGCTTCTAGCTCTATTTTACGCTTTTTATACTGAATCTGTTTTAGTTGATTTTATAGTTCCTTTTTTTCTTATTTAAACAAGTTATTTGTTTACATCTACGAATATTTGTTTTCAGATTTTGGCCAAAAGAAAACTAAAGTAATGAGATTTTTTCAAACGTGCTTATTAAGTAGTTTGTTCTAAAGTAACTTTTGGTAGCATCATTGGGTATAACCCATATTTCCATTACGCCTGCTTATTTAAGCTACTCTAAATTGTAAATTCTTTTTACAAAAAACTAATTAGATGTAATTTTTGACAAGCAGACATAAGTGTAAGGAATTCAATTATACATATATCTCACACATTGACCGATATTTTGTGTCAAAAGTCAATTATTGATACTGGGGTTCGCATATTCGGTACCTAGCGGCTAGAATAGTTTTGGTTCGATTTGGACATAAGGTGGCAAACTTCAAGGACACTATTCGTACACAGTTTTCCTCCGTAAATTTGTTGCTTCTTGATTTGTTCGCTGAGAAGTGAAAAAGTGGAATTTAAAATTGTGTTATCTGGGAAGTAGTCGGGGTTATACTCCGATTTCGCACATTTGCTATGTGACATCTGCTTAAAATGTGCCGCCCATTGTTAAATTTTGATTTATCGTCCTTTTATTTGTTGTAGCGGCAGAATTCGGACGAGTTGACAGGCCTTGACCGGACAAATCCGGCTCCGTTCCGGTTACGTAGACCCGATTGTCGTGGGAACGGCGCACTTTTAGTAGTCTGCCGTCTTAGCAGTCCTTCGCAAATAAAAATCCAGGTTCTGATCAATAAATTACATTGAAAGCTGTAAATGCACATTATTTTAATTTATCCACTTAATAAAACACCGTTTAAAAAAATTGGTACATTAGTTTTTAGAAACAGCTTTTGTTTAAGACCACACGTTATTTCTTAAATGTGTGAATACTTTATATGCACTTTATTCAGCTGTACCAAGGCATATGCTGGCTGCTTTATACTTTATAACTTTTCTAATCTTATCGGGAAGTTTCAAAAGCATTTTTTCTCGGTTTAGATAATATTTTATATACACATATGTATGTCCAGGTATATATTGTATACATAAAATAAAATATATTGTTTGTATATCTGACCATAGCAAGATTTGTTATTTACAAAAAATCAAATTCCTTCCCTTTCTGCCCTGTACTTAAAAAAACAGAAAAGAGTAATTTTCATTTGTACATAATTATTATTAATAATAAATAGAAGAAATGAAAGTGCGGTTTGAGGTGCTTTATACTCGTTTTCACGACAACACACTTTTGCTGTTAATTGGCTGMTATTTGTTGTACATTGTAAGTTTCCGCACACGTTACCAAATATACACTATAATTGTTTAAATTGTTGTTGTTGTCGCGGCAGAAAACATTCCTGAAGTAATTTCGAGGCTTGGTGGGTATAAATTACTCCTCTCATTTGCTTCATAGTGTAACATGCGGGACCATTCCACGCAGTGAATGGGGAACACGCTGTTTTTCTGCTCCAGTTTTTCTTCAGCCACAAATGTAAACAATTTAAAAAAAATAAAAAAAAATAAACTTGACATGCGCAATGTGAGGAAGTATGGCGAAATGTGGGTACGCCACCATAATTTTAACATTTCAAAATCAAATTAAATTGCTGGTGCTGGCATATGGTGCGCTTAAGCTGCCGCAAAAACGGAATTTTGCTTGAATTGCTGTGCCTATAACGTTGTGCTGAATTTGTTTAGAAAGCAATAGGCATGTTGATGATGTACTCACGCAATTCCAAAACCAGTACGGGTGCCCACGAATATTATGAGACACTATTGTACATGTACCTTTGTCAAGCTTTTGCATACACATACACATACACATATGTACTATGGACATTTTTTTATTTTTATTTTATTTAGACTGCAAAAACCTGCAAACACAATCAACCCATAACCTAGAATTTGTTGAGGGAGAAAAAGTTTTATTTAGGTCATTGATATAGTATAACCACATTAATTTATTTCTATCTTCAAAGCTCAACTATTGTATTTTGTAAAGCAACTATTTTTAAACAATGCTACGTGAGACTGGTTATTACCGTTACTTCAACAACCGGTTCTGCCGCACGATTAATGCCTGTATGATTACTTCACGGATGGTTCGAAGCAAGAAAGTTGGGGATATTAACGCTGAGCTCGTCGTAGAGTGTCTGTCCTCACTTGAAACAGAATTAAGCTACTTCATCATCAGACTCGTTGATCATAGCGGAATCGCCAAAAAATGCTTAGCCGATGAGGTCGCAAGACGGAGCACCCGTTCCCGTTCACAACGGAGTAGAATTATGGTGAATTTTCGTTGACATCTTGTGGTGTGGCACTCGACCAATGGATTTCGCTAGCACGCTAGTTGTCTCCGAGCACCTGGATAGTCGTGACAAACATTTTGCGCGACGTGTTTCTGTGAGTGGTGCAAGCCGAAAATGCTGAGTTCATTGGAGCAAAGGTACGCGATTAAGTTCTGTGTGAACCTCGGTAAATCTGCGACAGAGACGTATGAAATGATCAAGCAGCATCTTACTCAGATGGCTTACCCAGATAGTAAGAAGTGGTGTGTTTCGGTGGGACCAGGTCTTTTTGGAGGGCCGGAATGAGATCGTTGATAAAGATCGTGCTGGAAGACCAACTTCAACAAACACCGACAATGTGACTCGTGTGCGCAACGTTTTGAACTCAGACCGTCGACTAAGTAATTTAATTGCCTAGATGTTAAATTTATGAAATTCTGTGGTTCATGACATTGTGACGGAGCACTTGAACATGCGCAGGGTGTGCGCGAAAATGGTCCCAAAAGTGCTCACTGACGATCAGAAGTTTCGCCAAGAAGTGCCAAGAAAATTTGAACATRTGTAAAAGTGACCCCCAATTTTTCAATAATGTAATCACAGGTGACTAGTCGAGGATCTTTGAGTCATACTCATACTCCCGATGAAAGGCAAGCATTTTGAGACGATAGAGAGGATCCAAACAGTATGCACCTCGGCTCTCAAGGATATTCCGGAGAATGCCTTCCGTGACGCTGGCAGCGCTGCCTCGAAGCAACAGTAGCCTATTTTGAACGTTTTTTAAGAACGCGATACACGATGGGTTCACTAAATTTTTTTTTAAATCGACGCAGTTCTATTACTTTCCGGACAAACCCTGTATGTCAATGTCGTCGTATATCTCGTATAGCTCATCGTTCCATCGACCACAGTATTCACCATTGCCAATGCGCAAAAGACCATACATATAACTCTAGTAAATTACCGTTCCCACGTCTGTCGGTTCTGAGTAGTCAGAACGGATCCGGATTTTTATTCGGCCAAGAAATGTCGACTCGCCACCATTCCTTGAAATTACTTCAGAATTTGTTTCTGCTGCTGCAACAACAACACCGCCTTATTATAACACATAATAATTATCTGACAATAAAAGGGAGGAATATTTATTTCAATATTAAATTATTTCTTTAAATTATTTCTCTTTTACTCCAATGTTGCTTTCATTAATTTACTCGCCAGCAAGTCTGTGTTTACAAACTACACAACTATGACAATCAAATTAAACCCACGAGATCGTTGAGCCACTGCTCTAAATTATGAACAATTTGTACTCTGATTAGCATATGGCCGCGAAATGGCCTAGTGGTCGCCTTCTGTGCTTGTCCGCTCCATTTCGTATTTTCGTATACACACAGCCTACAGCACAGAGACACCCCAACAGTTGTTTTGCTTCCAAGTACTACATGTGAAAGTGTGTACATATTTGCTTAAAATAGTTTCTTTTCTAACATCGTGCTTTTTCCATTTCTCATTTGTTATTTTTTATTGTTGTTTGTTTGTTTGCATAATTGACGAGCTACACTAATATTTAACAGCAAACAGTTTGTTGCTAAGAACCTTAACCATGAACTGTGGGAAAAGTGCAAATTTCATGCAGCTTTGTGATTGGGTGTTCACAGCAAAAAGCTCTCGACTTCATTATCCATCGTTCTGCACTTTGTCCTATCCAGTTATTGCTGTTGTTTTCCCACCGCAAACAGGACAACCGCAGCCGATAAGTCCTTGCTTTCTTTGTTAGCCTTGTGCATTGCCAATGTGCTTTGATGTTGTTGACCTTCATGAGGTTTCGTGAATTTTATTTTTGTCCCAGTGTATTTGTTTTTTTTTCGCCAAATATTGTTTTTCCTCCCGACTTGCAGATATTGTGTGGGTGTGCGTGCGTGTGCCAGTCGCAAGGTTAACGACTTAATTTTTGTTTATATCTGTACGTCACAGAGTCGCTCACTAATTTTGTTTTGTTGTTCAGCATGTTTTTATAAATAGAGTTGCCATTGTCAAAATTAATAAGCCGTAACGCAATCAAGTTTGTTTATACTTATATAACGGTAGTTGTAACAAGACTGCTCTTGATTTAGCCGTGTTTAAGCGCACATATAAATTTCGTAGCGGTTATTTTCAGTTTTTTTTTGTTCTCTGTACACGTATATTAAGTTTACAACGAAGTTTGTAACACCCATTCCTTGCGGACTTGTTCCTGAGTTTCGCTCTCGCTCTGAAACTTTGCGCACGTCCTTGTCTGCTCAAGAAGCTGCTTATTTGCCGAAACCGCTGATA